GTAGATTTCACTTTCCCTGACTTTCTCATTTCCCACTTGAGTGTTCCACATTTCCAAATCAGTGAGCAATTTCCCACAACTTTGTTTCCTAAGATAATGCATTCTTGCTTCTCATTTTCACTAATATGTGCATTTCTATGCACACTTTACTCCAGTAATTTTTGGACTCAATCATTTTTGGACTCAATACCTGGCTGGCGACATGCATCACAAAATTCACAGAAATGCACATTTCAATGGACAGCCGTGTTTTGCTTCATGTATTGTTCTGGAAAGTGTGAATTAGGTCAATTTGCCCTTAAATGTGCACTGAATTGTATTTCTTTCCTATCCTTATTCTTCACAGCCATTAGAAGAAAGTTACTTCTAAAAAACAGAATCTGTAAATCTCAGGAAGCTTGACTTGCCACATAGTATATTTTCTTCCATGCTCCCCCTCCAAATCAGAGCAGACCGCCCTTTAGATCTTCTTCATTTTCTGCTTTTAGCGTCACTTTTTTTCATTCTGAAACTTGGAAGAATGTAGGAAGGTGCCTTCTAACCAGGTCAGACTATTTACCTATCTCCCCCAGGATTCCCAATTCTAGCCTTCTGCAAGCTGATACCCTCCAGATGTTTTGGACTACAGTTCCACATGCCTTCCAAGTGTCCCAATTTTCCAGGGACAGTCCCAGAATTACAGAAGCCATCCCAGTTTCTGATTTGATCCCAGAATGTCCTGGTTTTCCTTTTTCCTCCCCTCCACGTCTTGGAGAACAATTAAAAGTGGTGGGTGTGGGTGCAAAAACGGAGTCCGTTACAGAAAATAAAATACCTGCACCAAAGGAAGGAAACTGTGAAGCAGGCATACGAAGTCCTTCCTATAATGTTGAAGGAAAATGTAACCACTTTAAATTATTTAATTATAATGCTTCAACAGCCAGCCATTGATTCCTTTATTGTAAATGGAGCCTTACACTGTCTTCTCAGAAGTATTCAATGGAGCTTACTCCCAGGTAACTGAGTCAAGCCTGGGCAGCCTTACACTGCAATCCTAAGCATTTTTCCTCAGAAGTAAGTCCCACTGAGTTCAATAGGATTTACTCTGTTATGTTCCTAATCATTCTAAGTTGTTGCTGTTGATGATGATTAGATAAGCACTAAGTAAAGCTATCTCCTTAGCCCCTCAAAAACCCAGGGTGGGTAGCTTGAGGTTGTTAACACTCAAAAAATAGTATTTATGAAAGTTAGGGATGAAGGCTATACAGTGTCAAATTAATGTAGTTTGGCCCCTCACTTTCCTCATAGCATGTTTTAACATTTCCATGTGAGTGAGATGCTGAACACGCTTATACCAATGTGCAATCAAAACTCCCAGGGATGTTTTCCAGTCTCCAGATATTGTTGATGTAGCTGCAACCAAGAGGGATTTATTGAGATATTTATGGAGGCGTTTAGGGCTAGTGAAAATAGAAAGAAGAGCTGAAGGGGCTACTTTTGGGGTGACTTTGTTTGCTATTTTAGAAAAACAAGCAAAGATTCAATCCCAAAAGCTACAGATATGGGGCAGAACCACCACATGTGGAAGTAGGAGCCTTGTTCTGAGGATTTGTCTATGAGATTTTTCCAAGCTATGTAGCTTTCAAGGGTATAGTCTCGGGTACAAGTGGGGGAGAAATTCTATTCAGTTCACATTTAAAGGTGAACCTACCTTATTCACACTTTCCAGAACAATGCACTAACCAAAACACCAAACTGAAATCCTTCAAAATTCACTCTTCTCCAAATTTTGCAATGCAGTTCCCCTGCGAAATAAAGCATAGAAAAATGCTTTACTGGGGTAACGCGTCCATAAATATGCATATATTAGTCAAAATAACATACAACATGCTTTATATTGGGGGAATTGCTTTTCAAAGAAATGTATTTTAGGCAAAATTGCATGCAAAAATGTGTATAGCAGGAGACATTTGCACTATAATGCTTGCAAATTTTTATGAATTTAAAATTTAAAATTTAATTTAATTTTATGAATTTAATTTTTAAAATTAAAAACTAAATGCACAAACTGATGTGGAAATGTGGAGGGCTAAACTTCAGGTCAAAAAAATGAGAAACTGGGAAACTGAAATTGACAGATCCACCCAGCCCTAGGCACAGGTATTACATACCTTTTACAAATGGATTTTATTCGCCGTATTCCATCAAGAACACTCTCAGTCATGAGCAATCTCCAAGAAAGGGGATAGCCAAGGCACAGGCAGGAAAATTGAATAAAGAGGAAAGCTATAGGCAGGGAACTGGCAAAATGGGCTGGAGGGATACATAAGGCTAAGGTCTCCAAAAGGATGAGTCCAGCATTTTAGCTGAAAATAGGGACATGCTTGTACTCCTTTGAGTCATTCCTTCATTCACTGGTGGATTGGATTTCTAACACATCTGTCACCATAAGATCCCGGTGATGAGTTACAACAAATCAATGGCACAATTTAAAACCAATAGAGAGTATAGTACCAGGTTTCCCAGGCCAGCACTGAAAAGACTGCACTACACTCCCTTTCAGGTATGAATGAATCAGCCAAGGTACAGTCCATGTCAGTTTCACATGTGCACATAAGTTTAGTCTTGTTTCTGCATCAGTAAATGCAGAAAAATGTGCCTTGTTCTTGGAGGTCTAGCGGTCACATTCTGGATTAGTTGTAGTTTCCGAGTCGCCTTCAAAAATAGAGTCCAAGCGGGAGATGATAACCAGAGCAATTGCATATATAAAAATTATTTCAAATTCAAAACAGATACCAATAGGTATGCAAATCTCTACTTTAGAAGGCTTGTTGAGAGAGGAAAGAGGAAAAAGCAGCCCAAATGGAATAGGCCAATGTCCCATCTAGTTCAGCATCATGTTCTCACAGTGGCCAACCAGATGCTTCAATGGGAAGGACCTGAGTGCAAGAGCAACTCTCCCTATTTATGATTCCCAGAAACTGAAACTCAGAAGCATTACTGCCTCCAACTGTGAAGGCAGAAGGTAGTTTGTTGTTGTTTAGTCATTTAGTCGTGTCCGACTCTTCGTGACCCCATGGACCAGAGCATGCCAGGCACTCCTGTCTTCCACTGCCTCCCACAGTTTGGTCAGACTCGTGCTGGTAGCTTCAAGAACACTGTCCAACCATCTCGTCCTCTGTCGTCCCCTTCTCCTTGTGCCCTCCATCTTTCCCAACATCAGGGTCTTTTCCAGGGAGTCTTCTCTCTCATGAGGTGGCCAAAGTATTGGAGCCTCAGCTTCAGGATCTGTCCTTCCAGTGAGCACTCAGGGCTGATTTCCTTCAGAATGAGAGGTTTGATCTTTTTGCAGTCCATGGGACTCTCAAGAGTCTCCTCCAGCACCATAATTCAAAAGCATCAATTCTTCAGCGATCAGCCTTCTTTATGGTCCAGCTCTCACTTCCATACATCACTACTGGGAAAACCATAACTTTTACTATACGGACTTTTGTTGGCAAGGTGATGTCTCTACTTTTTAAGATGCTGTCTAGGGTTGTCATTGCTTTCCTCCCAAGAAGCAGGCGTCTTTTAATTTCGTGGCTGCTGTCACCATCTGCAGTGATCATGGAGCCCAAGAAAGTAAAATCTCTCACTGCCTCCATTTATTCCCCTTCTATTTGCCAGGAGGTGATGGGACCAGTGGCCATGATCTTCGTTTTTTTGATGTTGAGCTTCAGACCATATTTTGCGCTCTCTTCTTTCACCCTCAATAAAAGGTTCTTTAATTCCTCCTCACTTTCTGCCATCAAGGTTGTGTCATCTGCATATCTGAGGTTGTTGATATTTCTTCCAGCAATCTTAATTCCGGCTAGGGATTCATCCAGCCCAGCCTTTCGCATGATGAATTGTGCATATAAGTTAAATAAGCAGGGAGACAAAATACAGCCTTGTTGTACTCCTTTCCCAATTTTGAACCAATCAGTTGTTCCATATCCAGTTCTAACTGTAGCTTCTTGTCCCACATAGAGATTTCTCAGGAGACAGATGAGGTGATCAGGCACTCCCATTTCTTTAAGAACTTGCCATAGTTTGCTGTGGTCGAGCGTAGCTGGATAGGCTCACCTAAAGAACAATGTTTTCAGCAGGGAAGAGGGCAGGGAAGGGAGGGAGTCCCAAAGTGTAGGTGCTGCCACACTAAAATGCAGATTCCTTACAAATATGGAATGAGTATTATGTGTCACCCGTAACACTGCCAGTTCCACAGATGGAAGCGGTTGATCAGGTATATATGGAGTAATGTGATCCCACAAGTAATCTGGTCCCAAGCTGTTAAGGGCCTTATATACTAATAGTAACACCTTGAACTAGGTCAGGTAGCAAATCGGCAACCACTGCAGAACTCTGAGCAAAGATGTTATATGCTGAAGGGTCTCACTCTTGTCAGCAGTCAGGCTGCAGCTTTGCGCACCAACTGCAGTTTCCAAAGCAAGCACAATGGAAGCCCCACACTGAGTGCATTGCAGTAATCAAATCTTGAAGTAACCAGTGCATGAGCTGCTGTGGCCAAGCTTTCCACAGTAGCTACTACTTTCCACTATGACTAATAATAGCAAAATTAATTATGTACAATTCAACCACAGTAAACAGAGAGACGAACATTGTTTTTGTAGGTGCAATTAAAATAGCACTGAATGTGATGAACATGGGTCAGAACAGAAATTGATGCCTTCTTACATCCCATCGGAACAGTGCAATCCCTGGCACCTCCCTGACTTCTGTCTTGCCTAAAATTCTGGAGAGCCGCTGCTAGTGAGTACAGACAGTAGACAAAGGTGCAGAGGGTACACCAGATGGGAGAGTACAGAGTGCAGGAAAAGTGCCTGTCTATAGGCCAGAAGGTTAGCCCTTGAAGAGATCTTCGTTCTTCAAAAAGGATCAGAGCTTAGGAGATGTAGACTTGAGACAGAAATGCAAAAGACCTCAGCTTACTGCCAACCCTTGTTGAAGCAAATTGTTCACGGAGAGCTCTCCATGGTATTGACTTGCTCTGTGGGGAAAGCATTTGCTTTGCATTCAAAATGTTCCAGGTTCAATCCCTGGCATCTCCAGGTAGAGCTGGGACAGATCCCCTGTCGGTGTAGACAACAGTGAGCTAGATGGCTCAATGGTCTGATTCAGTATAAGACAGCTGCCTATGTTCTTCACTTCCTGTTTTGCAAGTAGATTGTGTCCTGCGGGAGGGTTTGCCATTTCTACCTTAAGCACCAAAATGACATGAAAATGACATCCTGGACACAGCCAGCTTGTGAATGAGATCAGGCATCGCTAAGCTTAGACACACGGAATTTCATAAAAGACATTTTCAGGCAGAGATGAAAGGAAAACAGTGCTACCTGAAATAATCCTGTTGCCTACATCTATTCTAGTTTTAAAGACAAAACAGCTCTTACATTTTCATCTCACTCTTCTTAAGGTCCTTTTTGGCTACTGTCAGGGAACTGACATCAGAGCGGGAGGCGAAGAGGAGGCTCCTAGATGATGCTGGAGAAGAACCCAGCAGCAGGGGGAGAAGCAGCTCAGTGGAGGGGGAAGCATTTAAGCGCAACACCAGGAACAAAAGTGGGCAGATGGGGAAATCGGAGAGAGGGCTCACGGACTCTTCACTGGAAATCAGTGAGGAGGGGACAGGTCCTCCGCTACCTACGCCCTCCCTGCGCAGAAGGCTCCCGCGCAGTGAGAGGAGGCAGAGACTGGGTGTCAAACAACTCTTATGTTGGAAGAGATTCAAGAAACGCCCACTGACGGATTCTGCTAGTGACTGAGACAGTCATGATTAGAAAGGGCTGTGCAGTCAGAAAGGTTTGACAAGGCAAATTAGCCTAGAGAGGCACCAGTTTACGCACGAGTAACTCATACTCATCACAGCAATCCGTCAGTCCCTGAAAGTTGCTCGTGCGCAGCAGCAGGCAGGCAGCATCATGAGCAAGCCCGGAGAAGCCAGCACCCAGGGGGGAGCAGCTGGAGGGCAAACGCTGGTGGAGAGGAACCGAGAGTTGGAGCAGCATGTGGCCATTCTGACGGCGCGGCTGGACGAAAGGCGGTCTCAAGATGCACAGGTCAGACCCACCCCCATAGCAAGGAAGGTACCGGGACTGGTGCACAAGTTTGGGGGGAAGCCGCAAGAATACAGTGCGTTTCGAACGGAAATAGAGTACGCATTGGAATTGCAGCATGACGATTTTGAAGACGACGCGGCGCGGGTGGCATATATTGTGGGTCACCTGCAGGACGGGGCCAGGGAATGGGTCAGGCCCCTTATGGCGACGCAGAATGCCGCCATGCAGGACCTGAGGAAATTCTTCCAAGCAATGGACGCAATGTTTTCCACTGATGTTCAAAAAAGTGTGACAAAGCGGGAATTGATGAACTGTAAACAGGGGAACCAGTCAGTTAGGGACTACTGGTCGCGCTTTGCCATGATAGTTCACCGCCTCGGGTGGGAACTGGGCTCCGAACCCATACAGATGTTATTCGAGGAGGGGTTGTCCCCAACGGTTAAGGATGAACTTTCCCGCGCACCCCGCCCACAGGGGATGGATCAGCTGACCAAGGCTGTGCTTGCGATTGGCGTGCGCCAGGAAGCGCGGGCCCAGGAGAGGCGGGAAGGGAGAGAGCAACGTTGCCATGACTACCGCATTCCTGAAATACCAAGGCAGCCTTCCCCGCCAGCAGAGCCAATGGAAATAGATGGGGCGCGCGGGAAAGTTTCAAGCACCAGCGAAGGGCGCAAGAAGGAGGGAAAGGATTGGAAAACCTCCAAGAAGTGTTACCTTTGCCAGCGGCCAGGCCATTTTGCCAGAGCCTGCCCTCAAAGAAAGGCCTGGCAAGGAATGGTGGGAGCCGCAGGGGGTGAGGAGGAGGTGGTAAAGGAACAGGAACAGGGAAACGGGAACGCTTGGCTGCCAATCAAGGGGCACAACAGCCAGGCCAGCCACCAGTAAAAGTGCCCCAACCAGACCCCCAAGGCGGCAATAGCCATCGAAGTGGTGCTAGAACTCCCGAACGGGCACCCAGTCAAGGTGAAAGGGATGCTGGATTCAGGCAGCTCATGTAATTTCTTCAGCAAAGACTTTGCATTAGAGCACCAGCTCCACTTACTGCCTTTGGATTTTCCCTTGCAAGTGACCACCATTGATGGCAGGGAGCTTCTAGGAGGGGAAGTGACACACCAGACCCCACCAATGAGGATGAGGGTGTCCAGGCACTCGGAGACCATCGCCTTTCACGTCGCCTCACTAGCAGGGCCCCCAATAATATTAGGGATGAGCTGGCTAGCACAACATGATCCAGTGGTGGCGTGGCATCAGAGGACAGTCACCTTTGGGTCAGCTTACTGCCTGGAACACTGTCTAGGGGGGGAAGCCCCAAGAATGACCATGGCCAGGGTGGCTGGGATGGCGGTGGAGCGGAAAGGGAGGTGCCGCCACAATACGCAGATCTGCGGGAGGTCTTCAGCGAGAAGGAGGCAGATAGACTGCCACCCCATAGGCCCTTTGACTGCCAGATCAACTTGCTTCCGGGGGCTCAGCTGCCAGTGGGTAAGCTGTACGCCATGTCTGACAGGGAGATGAAGGAGTTGCGAGAATTTATTGACAAGAACCTGAAAAGAGGCTTCATAAGAGAATCAAAGGCAGTAGGGGGCAGTCCGGTGTTCTTTGTGGACAAAAAGGACACCAATAAACCCAGGCTCGTAGTGGACTATAGAGCTGTCAATTTGGTGTCAGAACCCGTGACCTTCCCAATGCCCAGGATTGACGACATTTTAACGCGAGTGAGGAAAGGCAAAATTTTTACCAAGCTGGACCTCAGGGGCGCATACAATTTGATCAGGATGAGGGAGGGGGACGAATGGAAGACCACAATGTTCACACCCCTAGGTGCCTTTGAGTACTTAGTTATGCCTTTTGGATTACAGTCGGGCTCCGCCTGTTTTCAAGCTTTCATGCACCACGTGTTGGGGTCTCTGCTGTACAAGAACTGCGTAGCCTTCTTGGACGACGTCTTAATTTATTCGGACAATGAGGAGCAACATGTTAGAGACGTCAGGGAAGTGTTACAACGACTGCAGAAGCACCAGTTGTGGGTCAAGCTGGAAAAATGTCAGTTTCACGCCAGAGAAGTCGAGTTTCTGGGGTACAAGTTGTCTGACAAAGGCTTAGCGATGGACCCAAGCAAGGTGCAGGCAGTGCTGGAGTGGAAGGCTCCCAAAACACGGAAGGACGTACAGAGGTTCCTAGGGTTCAGCAACTTCTACAGGAAGTTCATCAAGAACTTCGCCCACTTGACAGCGCCCATCACGGATTGTCTCAGTAGCAAAAAGAAGTTTGTGTGGACAGAAGAGGCCCAGCAATCCTTCGAAAAACTGAAGAAGGCGTTCGCATCGGAAGAGCAACTCCTGCACGTAGATCTGGAGAAACCCGAGGCTAGAGACCGACGCGTCCGACAGAGCCGTAGGGGCGGTCCTTTGCAGCCAGGGCGGGGCAAGCAGGAATGGAAACCGTGTGCCTTTTTCTCGAGAAAACTGAGCAAGTCGGAGCAAAACTATACAGTGTATGACCGCGAACTGCTGGCAATCTACGCGGCCTTTCGTCGTTGGCGTCATCTACTGATAGGGGCGCAACAACAGATCCAGGTTTGCACAGATCACAAGAACTTGGAGTACTGGAGAACCGCACGAGTACTCAACCAGAGACAGATTCGATGGGCACAGGAGTTCTCCAAGTTTTTCTTTGAAATCCGATACGTGCCCGGAGAGGAAAACGTAAGAGCAGACGCTCTCGCGTAAACCGGAGTACCTGGAAGGAGAGGGGCCGCCGGAGAAACGACACGTGATCCCCGAGGACCGATGGGTGTGTGGGGAACTTTGGTGGGGAAACGAGAACTAGCCGGGCTGACCAGAAACGACGTGTTCGCGCAAACTAAAATCCGGGAACTACGAGACGGAAGAGGGACCCAAGAAGGGTTTGAGGAGAAGGAAGGGGTACTGTACTATAGGGGAGCGCTGTACGTACCGGGGGAGACCCTGAGGGGAAAGGTACTCAAACAACTCCACGACAACCCCACAGCAGGGCACTTTGGACAGCACAAAACCATGATGCTTGTGACCAGGCAGTTCTGGTGGCCCAGGGTGAGGGAGGATGTACGGGAATATGTACGGGGGTGCGACCGCTGCCAAAGGGCAAAGGGGGAGCGGGCTGCCCCCACAGGATTGCTGGAACCCTTACCCACGCCGGGGAACCCTGGGAGGTGGTATCCATTGATTTTATGACAGATTTGCCCAAGTCCCGGGAAAGACAGCAGTCATGGTAGTGGTCGACCTACTGACAAAAATGTGCCATTTTATAGCTTGCTCACATGCTGTAACGGCAGAGGAAACAGCCCGGTTGTTTGTGGAGCACATATTCCGGCTGCATGGCGCCCCTTGAGGGTTATCTCCGACCGCGGAAAACAATTTACTTCCCGGTTCTGGAGGAAGCTCATGAGCTTGCTGCAGGTGGAGGTGGGTTTCTCGACGGCGAGACACCCAGAGACCAACGGGCAAGCAGAAAGAGCGAACAGTATACTCCAGCAATACCTACGCTGCTATGTCAGCGAGAGGCAGAACGATTGGGTAGAAAAACTAGCGCTGGCTGAATTCGCGTACAACAACGCGGAACACGTGTCCACGGGAATGAGCCCATTCATGGCCAACCATGGGTGTCATCCCAGGGCCTTCCCGGGAGTGGGGAGGAAAGCTGGAGCGTACCCGCTGCAGAGCAGTTTGTGGAAGAAATGGAGGCCCTACACCAGCAACTTAAGATGAACTTGGAGCGGGCCAAGGAAACTTACAAGAGGCAGGCAGACAAGCACCGCAGGGAAGGGGAGACCATACGGGTGGGGGACCGGGTGTGGTTGTCCACCCAAGGGCTACCTTTCAAAGGGGGGTGCAAGAAGTTGCAGCCCAGACGGCTGGGACCTTTTGAGGTAACACAGCAAGTTAATCCCGTGGCATTTAAGCTCAGGTTGCCTGATAGCATGAAAATACACCCGGTTTTCCACAGGTCCCTGC